CCGCCATCCCCCGGCCCCTCAGGCCTGCCCCCTGCCTGTCTCCAGTGGGAAGGCAGTCCTGGCCAGGCGGGGCCTCCCCTTCAACTACCAGGCCTTGGTCACAATGGGCGTGACATGCTGCTTTTTTTAATTTTATTTTTTTACGAAAAGAACCAGTGTCAATCCACAGACCCTCCGAGACATCAGGCCGGCCGGGCCGAGCCAGCAGCCCCTCTCCCCGACTCAGAGGCTCAGTGGCGAGGGGCAGCCCTGCCGAGTCTTCAGGATGGGGTGGGGCCGGGCCTCTGGAGCCCCTCGGCCCCCTCCCACCAAAGGGTTCACCTCACACTTGAATGTACAACCCACCCGGCTGTCGGGAAGGCCCTCCGTCCTCGGCCCCTGCCACTTGCTGCTGTCCTGTCCCTGACCCCCTGCAGGTCCCACACCCACACCAAGAGCTAGAACAGGTGGCCCCGTGGGCCCTGGGGGGAAGGGTCACTGTCAGCCGCTTGAGCAGGCACAGAAACCTCAAGGGTCTGTCGTGGAAGGTATCCTTTTTCCTTGTAGCTAACGTTAGGCCTGTGTATCCCCTTCAGTATTTGTAGATGCTCCAGTCCCTACTACTATGATGGCATTTTGGTCCCTCCCCAGCCTGGGAAGGGGCCTTGCAGGGACCTCTCCAAGAAAAAGAAAAGAAAGAAAAAAAAAAAAACTAATAAACAAGGAAATGTATGTTTCAGCACAGGCAATTTTCTTCTACTTCTGCTCCCTGTTTCTAACACCCCCAAACTCGGATGTGGTGGAGCTCAGGCTAGGCCCAAGGCCCACTAACTGGGCACCCCAGGAAGAGCAGGCACAGCCAAGGCTGGGGTGGCCCCCTGTGCTGCCCGCCCATCCTGGCAGGTGGCCTGTGGGGCAATGGCTGCCCTGGAAGCTCCCTGCTCTGCCCCTCTCCCGCCTTTATATAAATTCTTTGAATCACCTTTGCATAGAAAATAAAAGTGTTTGCTTTGTAAGAAAAGTCTGGAAAGTAGCAAAATCATCTCGAGGTCTCAGGGGAGCCTTCAGTCACCGTCTGGGGGGCAGGGCAGGCAGAGGCACCCCCTTATGTTGGGCCTGAAAGAGAGAAACTCCTAGGAGTGGCCCCATGACTTCTAACCTTGGGATGGGGGCCGGAGACCCCCTCAGCCACAGCCGGAAACGGTTCCTCACCTGCGGGCTCCAGCCTTCCTAGGCTGCTGCGGACCTTGGTGGGGGCGGTGACAGTAGTACGGTTGGGGGCTGAGATGTGGCCTGGTGGGGAAGTGCCGCGGGCTCCAGAGGCAGCGGCTGGAAGAAGTAAAACTGAACCAGGAGAGCCCTGGGTCAGCATCAGAGCCAGCAAGCCAGCCCCCCACCCCAGGCCCAGCCTGTGCCCACCCCAGCCCGGTACCTTACAGCCCGTGGCCAGGAGGGCGTGGAGCAGCACCACCGCGGAGAGCAGCAGCACAGCTGCCAACCGGGTGTCCTCACGGACGACGGGCCAGAGGGTGAACACCAGGCCCGCGGCTGACAGGGCCAGGGCCAGGGCCCAGGAGAGCCACTGCAGCCATGGGACAGGGATGAGCCACAGGACCTAGGGACGACACAGGCAGCTGCTACCAGGCTGTCCCCATGGCGCCCGGGGCCCACCCGTCCCTGAGCCCCACTCACCACAGTGGGGATGAAGACAAAGAGGGAGTAGCCATAGACGCACACCGTCTCCAGGAAGGTGTAAGGCCCCATGCGCTCCCGGACACCCTTGCGCCACTGCAGGAAGCCCCACAGCGCCAGCGGCACGAGCCACGTGTAGCAGTAGATGGCGGTGCCGGCCACGGTCACTGCGGGCAAGGCAGGTAATCGCCCCCGGGCCACGGCACCGCCCCCCCGCCCCCCCCCCCCCCCCCCCTGCCACTTCCGTGAAAAATCCACCCCACCCCACCCCCAGATCTCCCAGTCCTGAGGGATTCGGGGCGTCGCCGGGCATCACTCCCCAGAGACGCACATCCAGGTTCCCAATATCTCTCTGCCCTAGAAGCTGCCCTGATACTTTTTCCTCGGGATACCAGGCATCCGAGTGCCCAGCCCCTCTCCCTGAGGAACCACGAAGTCAGTAGCCCCCTAGCTCATTAGGAATCCAAAGGTTCAGACCTCGCCCCCCTCTTCCGACCCAGAAGTCCAAGCCCCACCTCACGGGAGTCTGGGTGAGTCCCTCCTCTGGGCCAGCACCAGGGTCAGGTTGCCGGTGACGGCCAAGACGAAGGCCAGTGTGGCACAGATCCAGAAGGGGCCTGCGGGCGGGGCATGCTCAGGGTCGCAGGGTGGGACCTCCCAGGACAGGTGACTTGTCCCATCTTGTCCCAGCCTCTTCCCAAGCTCCGGGCTGCCTCCACCCCGCTCCGCCCGCCCCCACCGACCCAACTCATCGACCCCGGCGTCACACCAGCAACAGACTGGCAGCTGAATCCAGTTCTGGCACCCAGCACTCATCGATGACCTTTGACATTAGCTGACGCCCTCCTTCTGGAAACACTCTCCACGTGGTTCCCAGGACTTGACGTTTTTGCTTTTGTCTCATTTCACTGGCAGCTCCTCAACCTTTTTGACTCCCTGAGCTCTTTAACAGCGGGGAGCCGGCCCGGGACCCAGTCTTCAAACCTCTTCTCTGCATTCATTCACCCCTTGTGTGATCTCGTTCAGCCTCACGGCCTTATGCCACCACTGTGCCAATGACCCCCAAATGTCTCAAGTCTGGGCCTCTGCCCTGAACCTGCAGCTCCTATTCAACGTTCCCACTCCACCCCACCACACTCACCCTTTCCCCTCGAGTCGCATGCCTTTCCACATCAGTAAATAGCAACTCCCGCTTTCTGGTAGTCCAGCCAAAAACTCTGGAGCCTCCTTACCTCCTCTCCTTCCACCCCACATCTCACGTGTTGGCTTCATCTTTGACGTATGCCAGAATCCAACACCCGGCGCTCTCCACCCCAGACCAGGCCCATCATCCCACGCTGGACCTCAGCAGTCGCCTCCTCCCTGGTCTCCCAGCTTCCGCCCTCCCCCCACCCTGCCCCTGCCCCGGGCCCAAAGCACCTAAGGACACTTAACTAAGATCCCTTCTCACCATAGCATAGGAGGCCTGTGTGATCTGTCCTGTCACCTCTGTGGCCTCCTGGCAGCTCACTCCAGTCCAATGACAGTGCTGCCCTGCAGTGCAGGCCTGTTTCCACCACATCCCACTTCTGTAATGTTCTTCCCCGGGGTCTCCCCACACCCTGCCCTGACACCAACCAGGCTCGTTCTCTCACCCTCCCCGGAGGGGTCTTCCCTGACCAACCCGTGCGAAATCACAATTCCCATCCTCTAAACCCTGTGCTTCTCTTCCTAGCCCCAAGGCCCTCTGCAGCCTCATTTGGCTCTATCTCCCTGAACAGAGTGTAAGTTTCACACTCTCCATGAGTTTCTGCTTTGTTCTCAGCTGTATACTGGGGCCTGGCACTCAGTCCACATTTCCTCAATGAATAATCAAATGAACTGAATACACAACCTCACTCACCATACAGGTCTGGCCGATTCCGCAGATGGTGCCGTACAAAGTTGTGGCCGGGCCGGGGCAGCAGCGAGCCCTTGATCCGGTCCAGGACCTGGGGGGCAAGGCCGGGGCCTAGGATGGAAGCCTGCCTGGGGCTCTTCACCACCCAGGAGGAAAGGGGTCAAGCTCCTTAGGGGCTCCTGTCTTCCTATGGCCTGGAGCCCGCCCTTTCCCCGGGCAGCCCCCACTCAATATCCCAGTGTCCCACCACTCTGAAGGACGCTTCAGGGCCTGCCATCTTCTTCTTTGCTTCCTCCGCCTCCAGCTTGGCTGCCCCAGACTCCCCTTTTGGCTCTCTCCCCCCACCCCATTAACAGTCGTCAACAAGTCCTAGTCCTGGGCGTTCTCCTTCCGCCATCTCTCCCAACGTGTTCCCTACTCCGCAGCCCTGGTTTATGACCATCTCCCACCCTGGCCTGGGGCCTCTGATCCATGTTCCATGCTACTCAAGCCTCTCCTGCTCTAAACCCTTCCATGACTCCCCAGCACCCTTAGGATAAAACCCAGACTCCTTAACATAGCTCATGAGGCCCTTGGTGATCTGGCTTCTCTCCGCCAGTCCCCCACCTCACTCTCCAGCCTGAGTGACAGGTAGCCTCTGCAGTAGTGTGTGACTTCTCTCACCTTTGGTCCTCCACATGTGCTGCTCCCTGTGCCTGGAACATACTTATGCTTCCCTCCACTCTTCCTGGCTAGGTCTACCTTCTCCTCTAAGTCTCTGCAAATTCCTCACCTCCTCCAGTGGGCCCTTCCCTAACCCACCATGTCACTTGTGTCCCCCATGTTCCCAAGAGTCCCAGTCACACCACATCCTTGCAGCACACACAGTCACACCTACCAGCCTGGGTAGGAGCTCTTGTTCTCCCAGGTGCATATTGCCAGCACTTGCCCAGGGCCTGGTGCACAAGAAGTGCTCGGTGACTAGTGGCTGAACCTCAACCGTGACTCCAAGTCCCATCCCACCAACTTTCCCGGCCTGACCTGTGAGGTGTCCACGTCAAAGAAGCTCTGATAGTAGCCAAAGGTCCAGAAACCAGGCTGCTGCGTCTCCTCCTGTAGGAGCTGCACAGTGCAGGCTTTCAGCGCTTGCGGGGTGGCAGGGGTGGGGGTAGGGACAAGGGGCAGGGCACGGGGACTTACGGGACTCACCGCGGTCTTGTCACTCTCTTCCACCTCGTCCTCAGCTCCGTAGCTGCCACCTGAGTCCATGGCCACAGCCACGTGCTGCTGGGGAACCAGCTGATCACCTCTGGTGGTGGCCTCATTTGGGGTCTGGGCCAGCAGATTAGTAGCTTCCTCGAACTCTGCCGAGAAGGCATATGGGACACAGGCATATTTGGGAGTCAAGACAATTTGGTTTCGGGGCTTCCCTGGTGGCGCAGTGGTTAAGAATCCGCCTGACAATGCAGGGGACATGGGTTCGATCCCTGGTATGGGGAGATCCCACATGCCGCGGAGCAACTATGCCTGTGCGCCACAACTACTGAGCCTGCGCTCTGGAGCCCGCGAGCCACAACTACTGAGCCCATGCACCACAACTACTGAAGCCCACGCGCCTAGAGCCCGTGCTCTGCAACAAGAGAAACCACCGCGATGAGAAGCCTGCGCCCTGCAGCGAAGAGTAGCCCCCGCTCGCCGCAACTAGAGAAAGCCCGCGTGCAGCAACAAAGACCCAACGCGGCCATAAATAAATAAATAAATAAATTTATCAAAAACAAACAAAACAATTTGGTTTTGCCCACCGCTCATCTGGGGGCCAACGCTAACCGTAACCACCTGGGTGTTCACCCCCAACTCAGGGCACGTCCTCCTCAACTCTGGTGAGTGGGAAAGAGGTGTGTCCCCTCCCTTCTAACATTGGCCCGCAACTGAGGGCTGATCCTGGAATGAGGCAGAGGCTCGGATTTGAGGCCTGGGTTTAGGGCGGGAGCGGGATTCGAGTTAGGGATGGGTTTCATGCCGGGGCCGGGGTTCACAGCTGACTGGGGTTCGGGTTAGATCTGAGTTGGAACCTGGATGGGAGGTCCAGGTCAGCGGAGCGGGCAGGAGTCGGGCCCGGTCGCGGATGCGCTCACCGTGGAAGGCCAGCTCGTCTGCCGCTGCCATGGTCGCTCAGGGCCGTCACCGCATCCCGCTCTGAGGACAGAGGCCAATCAGGCCCGCCCCCGACCTCCCTCGGGGCCCCTCCTGGAGGCTAGCCTCAGCCCCGAGCCCGGTTTGGCGGCTAACCGCACCCACCGGGGCGTGAACTCGCCGCTCCTGCCCCACAGGTGCACCCACGGCCCCCTCACCTTCGGCTACCTCAACCGGCGGGGCCCGGTCTCTCTGCGCCTGCGCAACCCGCCGGCCAGCCACAGACGACCGTACTCCGATCTGACAGGAACATCCGGCGTCGGTCCGTATTCTACCCTCTTCCGTTGGGAATCCACTTCCGGCAGTGTTGACGCTTGCGCAGAAGAGACTCCCCGGGCCTTCTGCTTCGCCTACCTGGCGTTTCTCTTCGGAGTACGGACGCAAAGCCGGAAGACAATGGCGGCGGCCGTTCTGAAGAGATTTTGGCCTCGAAACCGTGGAGAGACTGGTGACATTGCGGCCGCAAAGCCCGGCGTGTGGGCACGGTTGGGTGAGTAGCGGCGGGAGGCGGCGGGGTGGGCGGCCGCACCGCCCTCATCGCGCTTCTCTCCCTTCAGGCGCCTGGGCCCGCGCGCTGCTCCGGGACTACGCTGAGGCCTGCGGGGACGCGGCGGCGGCGGCGAGGGCCCGACCCGTGCGGGCGGCCGTGTACGTGGGGCTGCTGGGTGGCGCGGCGGCGTGCTGCGCCCTCGCGCCGAGCGAGGCGGCCTTTGAGGAGGCGCTGCTCGACGCGTCGGGGACCCTCTTGCTGCTGGCGCCCGCCACGCGCAACCGCGACTCGGAGGCGTTCGTGCAACGGCTGCTCTGGCTGCGGGGTCGCGGCTGCCTGCGCCACGTGAGCCTGGGTCTCTGCTCGCTGGTGTACGAAGCGCCCTTCGACGCCCAGGCCAGCCTCTACCAGGCCCGCTGTCGCTACCTGCAGCCCCGCTGGGTCGACTTCCCGGACCGGATCCTGGATGTGGGCTTCGTGGGCCGCTGGTGGGTGCTGGGGACCCGGATGCGCGACTGCGACATCAACGACGACGAGTTTCTGCACCTGCCGGCACACCTGCGCGTCGTCTGGCCCCACCAGCTGCACTCGGAGGCCAACGAACGGCTCTTCGACGAGAAGTTCAAGCCCGCGGTGCTCACCGACGATCAGGTGGACCAGGCGCTGTGGGAGGAGCAGGTCTTGCAGAAGGAGAAGAAGGACCAGCTCGCCCTGAGCCAGGCCGACCCGCTGGTGCCGTCGGAAGTTGCGAGATGAAACCCAGACCTGGGTCCCGATCGGGCTCTGAGCCCCGGCAGACTGTTCGCCCGCGATTGTGCAGTTGGTGCGAGTGAGCCTCAAACGCAGAGTGACGGAAATAAATTATTTGCACTGTTCTCTCCCTGCGTTTTCACAGAATCGGGGGCCTCCCTCTCACCTGTTGATTGTGAGCTGACGCTGATTCAGAGCCTCCTTGGTCTAGGAGTTGGGGAGAGCCGAGCGGCGTGCCATGTCATGTTTAGGCACTGCCAGAGTTACCAAGGAGCATTAGACCAAAATAAGCCTTTTTTTCACTGGGCTTCACAGCCTGAGGTATCACAGTTGTTAGGTAATTCCCAAGCTCTACTAAGAACTTTGAGACTGACATGGGATAGGTGAAGTGCCCTCTCCACACCTCAGATTCTTTTTCTGTCAACAGGAGCACAATCTGCTCGGGGTGTTAGCAAAACCACAGACCACCAGAGTGCGCTTGGTACCTAGCAGGCCCCCGCGGTGTGCAGTGGGGCTGAGTGGGGAGGATTGCAGCTCTGACTCTACACCCTGTCTGCCTGCCCCCGGGAGGGGAGCACAGCTCCCCAGCTTCACCTGCAGCCCCGCAGGGCTGACCCGGGAAGTGCTCAGTAAACGGAGGACCACAGAGCCGGGAGCCTGGGTTCGCTTCTCTCTCAGGACAAAAGGATGCTTGGCTGTAACAGGAACATTTTCCAGTTCTCTCTTTTTCTTTTCGTTCTTAAGTAGCTTGAATCACTTCAGCTTTCCAGGCCAGTCCAGGAGTTGGCCTCTAGATGTCCTCAGGGGCTGCAGGAGCTGGGCCGGGCGAGGTGGGCAGAGGTGCTCCGCTCTGCCTCCCCCAGGCCAGCCCCTCTGGCTGTGTGTCCCTGGCCCTGTCTTCCGGGACCCCACAAGTTTGCTGGGTGCCCCCGAGAGGAGGCCCGCCCGTGACCATGGGGCAAGGCAGGTCTCCCACCCGCCAGAGCCCCATGGACCCCTGCAAAGAGCTCGGGCACTGCATGGCCATCACACACACCAGGCGAACCTGGAGTTTAGAAAATCACTGCCCATTGACCCTGCAAGGGACCCCCTTCTTTAAGCATCACAAAATGGGGACACCCCAGCTAGGAGCGTTGGCCCCAGGCCCTTTTCCTTTCTTACCTGTCCCCTGTTCCCACACCTCCTTTGAGTCTTTTCCTGTGATCACCTGCTTCCTGGAGCTCTGGCCCCCGCCTGCCCACCTCCTCACCTGCCTTATGTTTTCCAAACTTCTGGCATTGGGGCCTCGTGGGTTTCCCTTTATTTCCCCTTTATGTAGATCTTTTCCTTGGAGCAGAGCCCCATCCTGCCAGGGCAGGGATTCTTTCTGTCTGCCTGTCACCCTCTGCCTGGAGCAGCACCTGGCGTGCAGTAGGCACTCAGTGAATACTTGTCAAATGCGCCAGCATGCCAGGTGGGGGGTGGCTGGAGCTGCTTGTCAGCTGCCACTTGCCAGTCCCGGCACACTGCTGTGCCCTCCACTGTGGCAAGGCCTGTTCTCGTGGGGACACTGGTATCCTCAGCCCACGGCACCTCCAGTTCAGGCTTTTTGCCTACCCAGCAGCTTCTAATTCAGGTGCTTGCTTGGGAGATGCTCTCAGCTGTCTGCCCTGTGTTTGGGGGGGCCGGCTCCTTGCTTCTCTCACACAGTCATTAAGTGCAGCTGGAGGTAGGACCACCACCCCCCACCTCTGGGCTGGAGGTGCCACAGATGAGCGTCTGGGCCACCCTTCTGGCTGGGGCCCCTGTTACCTGTCTGGGCACAGAGGGCAGGCCAGGCCTGGGCATGCTGGTGCAGGGAACTCAGTGGGTGTGCCCTGCGTGGTCTGGCCGTGGTGTGTGAGGCTTCCTTGGTGGGCGGGACAGGAGACCACTGCAGTGCCTTGTGCTGCGGTCCCTCGAGGACTGATGACGGAGTATAAGCTCACAGTGGTGGGTGCCAGAGGCATGGGGAAGAGTGCCCTGACCATCCAGCTCATCCAGAACCACTCTGTGGATGAGTACCTTCCCACCATAGAGGTGAGCTGGCCCGGCTCCTGTCCACAGCCCAGCTCCTAACACGGGCTTGTCTCCCACCCACACTGCAGGAGGGGTCTCCTTGTCATTGGTCCTGGGGGGCATGAGAGGAGCGAGGGAGGGTCGGCTGTCTCTAAGCAGTGTCCTCCCCAGGACTCCGACCGGAAGCAAGCGGTCATCGATGGGGAGATGTGCCTGCTGGGCATGCTGGACACGGTGGGCCGGGAGGAGTACAGCGCCGTGCGGGCCCAGTACACGTGCATCCGGGAGGGCTTCCTCTGTTTGTCGTCAATGACGCCAAGTCCTTCAAGGGCCAGATCTTCGAGGACATCCGCCAGTACAGGTGAGCTTCCCGGCAACCCTCGGGGGCCTCCTGTCTGCTCTCTGCGTGTCCCGGTTGCAGCTGAGCCGACAGCCCACCGGCCGACTCATGCCTTCCCCCTTGCAGGGAGCAGATTGAGTGGTTGAAGGAATCGGACGACATGCCCAGGGTGCTGTTGGGGAACAAATGTGACCTGGCCACGTGTACCGTGGAGTGTCAGCAGGCCCAGGACCTGGCCTGCAGCTATGGCATCCCCTACATGGAGACTTCGGCCAAGAAGTGCCAGGTGAGCCGGAGCTACCCCCCCGCCCCGCCCAGTGGCAGCTCTCACTGCCCCCTCTCCCTCGATGCAGGGCAGCCGCTCTGGCTCTAGCTCCAGGACCCTCTGGGACCCTCTGGGACCCCTGTTGCCCAGCAGTCCCTCATGCTGTAAGTCTCCCTGGACGTCAGGACAGCGAGGGAGGCCAGCGTCTGGGTCTGGGCCGACACAGCTCCTGGGGGATGTGGAGGTCCCCAGAGAGAGCTGCCCTGACCAGGCTGGAGCGGTGACCCTGGGGCCCCAACCCCTGTACCCCCAGAGCAGCAAGTAGGTCCCAATTGGCCCAACCCCCCAGGAGGCCGTGGGGGAGTTGCTGAGGACAAGCCTCCCAGCAGGGTGGCCCTGGGGATCAAGATGGGCAGGGCCCAGCTCCCCGTTTGCGGGGCGGGGTGAGGAGGGGGCTGGGGTTGCACTTGAGGCCAAGGCAGTGGTCCCGCCAATGAGGTGGCCCCCTCTTTCCAGGGCGTGGAGGATGCCTTCTACAAGCTGGAGCACAAGAGCCGGCAGCACAAGGCGAGCAAGCTGAGCCCGCCCGCCCTACGGGGGTGGCCTGGGCTGCCTGAGCTGCAGGGCCTGCTCTCCTGACTGAGGCACAGGCGACAGGCATGGAAGAGGCACAAGCAGAGAAGATGCAGGGAAGGAAGCTCCGGCCAGCCCAGGTAGGTGACGGAGGGACCGTGGGTCTGCCGGGACACCTTGCACAGACTGTCGTGAACTGATGCCACTGGCCCCCCAGCTATCACTCTCCTCAGCCCCGTACTGGCCCACTGGGCACATGCTGAGTCACTGTAAAGTATCTGATGGGCTTGACCCTGGGGTTCAGCTGAGTCCAGGAGGCTGTTGTGCATGTGGCCCCCCAGGAGGCATGTGGGAATCTCAGCTTAGTCCTGCTGGTGGCCCCTCTGTCTCTGGGGGCCCCGGGTGCGTTGTGCCGAGACCCCCTGGGTGCTGCAAGAATGGGCCAGTCTAGCACGTAACACATGAAACTTTATTCACCTTCAACCAGTAAAGGGGGAAACTAAGACAAAGGCTGTCCC